GTTCTCAAACAAAAGAAAGTCACGAAAAATATCTCAAATTAAGAGTCATCGCCACAGCATTGCTTTGGTTTGGGTAACAGTGTTGAGCAAAGACTTGGTTCAACCGTTGAAATGGCTTTGGGGAAGCAAAGGGAACAAATTGACACGATTAAATACAGTTTAAAGCTCTATTGAACGCATAGGATTACCCATAAAGTATTCGAGAGGTATTAAAAATACAAGAATAAATAATAAGGTTGTGTTCGTTGGCTTTATTTCTTAGGTAAAAGTCATGTTTTCATTCAAATTTCTATTTTTAGGACGTTTGATTGACCTTTTTCCTTAAAAAATATTTATCAAAAGTTAGTTACATGACCATACTTTTCTAAAAAAATAAGGAAAATATTTTCTTTAGGAAATGATAAGTTTTTATTCTCTAGATAATTCACTCACTCTCTTTCATCTACTTCCTCTCTCTCATCTTTCCACAAATAAAAGAGAACAAGTATATCATTTTCTATGTTGAAATTTAAATCAATTAAACAAATTTAATCAATAATTTTCATGCAAATGAGTTTATTTGCTTTCTATACAAGTTTCATGTTTGCAATCAAACACACCATAAATATTTTGTATCTTTGAAATTTCAGCAATTAAAAATTTAAGGGCACGTTTGATTTGTTGTTTTCAAATCGTGTTTGATCCGATATTTTTAAAAATGCATCTTCGAAAACAATGATAAACTTATAATATAAATCTCAAAACGCATCTTTAACATTTCAAAATATGGAAAACAAGCATTTAAATAGAATTTTAAAAATTAAAAATATGAAATTCTAAAAAATAAATTTTAAAATTTTTTGAAAATAAAATTCAAACAATAAATTTTAAAAATAAAAATAATAAAAATTAAAAAAAATAAATTATAAAATTATAAAGAAAAATAAGATTCTAAAAAAAGGTAAAATTCTAAAATACATAAAATAAAATTCTTAGAAAAATAAAATTCTTAAGACTTCTAGAGAAATAAAAATTATAAAAAATAGTCCAAGCTCTTAATGATCATTTACATAAAAATTCTAAAAAAAAAAAAATTAAATGAACACAAATAAATATTCTCGGTTCACCTAATTAATTTTTATTTTTATTTTATATAATTTGAACTAAAACTGGATATGGTATGGTTCGTTTCGATTATAAAGAGAACCAAACTAGAATATTCGGATATTTAATAAGTGGAACAATCCAGTCTAAATTTAATAATGGAATCGAATCTGTTTTGGTTTCATTCGATTAAGTTTCATTTGGTTCCATACCATAATTAAATCTCTTGATATTTAAAACAATAATAGATTAATCTAACTAATGACATATTCAATCTTAATTCTTATAACAATACTACATCAACTCTTACTAAATAATGCAATCCAATTTAAAATATATAAATAACATGTTGTCTAATGAGATCCATTTACCAAAGTATAAAAATTACCAAATAGTAAATAATAATACTAAAATATCGGCACTTTCATTTCATAGATTTCTTTGCTTCAAGATTTCAAATTTATATAAAAAATGAAATATAAATTAAAAGTTATAAAAATAAAATATTTTTATTTAGTTGGCAAACTTATTTAAGAAAAAAAATTAAGATAATTTGGCTTATTTAATTTTAAAAAATTAGATAGATTCTGTTCGTATTCGATTATTTGGTTCTTGGTTTAGAATTAAGAATCGAACATTCTAATATCTATTTAGGTATTTAACTTAAGAAGAATCGAATCGAACCGTTCAATTCAGTTCGGGAGTTTTGTCTACGCCTATTTTGATATCAATTTATTATTTGTTTTTGTTTTATTTTTATAGTGAAAAAAAATATTGTAAGATTCACCAACTTTTAAATATATATAATATTTGAGAATATATATAAAATTTTATGGAATAAAATATCATAAAATAATTTTTCAAAATTTCAAACCAAACGTGTTTTCTAGTTTTATGTTTTGTGAAATAATTTTTCAAAATATCAAATCAAATGCGTTTTTAGCAATTTTAAAACAGACACTTAAAACAGAAAATAGAAAATAAACTTAAAATTGAGAACTAAATCAGAAACCAAATGAGCCATAAGCCTTTAATTTCTCATTTAAGTTGCTTGATTTGGCAAAACATGCTTTAAATCAGATATAACGCAAAAACATGAAGCGTTGTATATTACTCTCTGTCATATACGACCAAAAAATAGGAAAAACTACAACAATCAAATGCAAACTTTGAAGGCTCAAAATTCCACACTCAGTAATCCAAATGCCAAATCGCCAAATTCATCAAAAAATCATGATATAGTGATAAGTGGCAACAAATCGAAGACTTCAAAATATTAAAATCCGAATATTCTCAATGATCTACATAAACCAAACTTCATTAAATCAATTTAGACAAAGTTATCCAATTGTTGAAACACATAAGAAAATATCTATTTTCAGCAATTTGAAAACATACATTAAGAAACTATGAGGAACCCACTTGTACGCCGGCATAGACAAACACAAAAAAAAAAAAAAAAAAAAAAAAACCTCTAAGCAATCAAACAGAGGAGCGATCCGAACAATGCCTAACATGGATTTTGGTGAGGGATCGCTTCAGATGATGATGGATCGAATCATGATATTGACCTTGCGTTTGAACATGAGATCCGAAATCGTGGAAACTCAATAGCCGAATTGAAATAAGTCTCAAGGTCAAACACCAAATTGAGGCACTAGTCCTTGCATGCTTGTAGCCACACCTTACACACTCGCACGGCCCCTGCTATCGATCCACCAAAGAGAGGTACAAGGGGATGTTGATGAGACACTCGTAAGTCAAATCGGCACAATTGTGAGTTTGCCTTCCTTGTCCTCCATTTTAAGGGATGAGAGCATATCGAAGATACTTTCTAAATATAAGATACTCTTTATTTTGAATAGTTAACACTTAAAAATAAGTTCTAGATAATCTTTATTTATTTTAACCTTGTAAACTAAAGAGTGGGTTTAACCTTTCAAACTTGGAGAGTCAAATCACTCTCTATTAATGTAAAATTCTCACATATTTTAATGCTTTATTTTTTACCCAAAAATTTTCATTACTTTTTGACCACACATTCTTCTATCAATCACTATTCCAAAATTTATTTTTTCTCCAAAATGGGTGTCAAACACATGATGGTCATTGATATATAAATATTGTATTAAATAAAATATAATGAGAAATTAATAAATATTTTTTGATAAAAATAAAATGAAGAGCTAAAATAGAAAATATTGTTGGAGTTTATAAAAATTTTAACGCTCTAAATTTAAAGATATTCTAAAGTATAAGAGTATACCCAATAGATTCTCTATTTTTAAAGAACATATTTTACAATTTAGAGAGTATCTATAAATTTAGAGAGTAAATATTTTAAGTACTCCAACAAACTCTTTATATTTAACACTTAATTTTACTACTTTCAAGAAATATTTATTATTTTTTCTTCTCTTTTACTTTCACTAGCTTTCCTCTAAATTATTATTTGGAAAGCCAAACTCACTTTCTAAATTAAAATGTTAATTGAAAGATTCTCTTGGAGCATAACTTTAGGTGTCGACTCTTTAAAATATCGAGCATCTTATATTTAAAGTGTCATTTGAAAATGTTCTAATAACACAGTGGATTGATTATGTTAAAACTTAAAGTGCTACTAAAGATAATATTGATACGTGCCTGTTTGGAAAAATGAATATATATTTAACTCAAATTATTAATATTAATTCAACTACATTAATTGTCCATCGAATTATAAATGAAACGCGTGCATTGCGCATCTAACTTACTAGTATTGTTGAACTGTGATATCCTTAAAAATGATGCCCGAGTCCATATATTTAGAGCATCTTAACGTATTTCACGGATTACAAATTTACAATTTAGGTGACATCTAAATGGAAAGATTTTCGATTTAGAAAAGAGAAAAAACGAGCTATTTTTATTGTTTTCAAACACAGGCAAATTATATGGTATCCTAGCCCTTGTTTGAGCCCCATTTTAGGAAAAAAATATATTTTTGAATAGTGATTTTTTGGAGAATATGTGGTTAAAAAGTAAGAAAAAGTTTTGATTTACGTATAAAATTATTTTATTGAAGAATGTGTGGTTGAAAATAAGTTTTGAAAAAAAAAGTTGGAAAATACTAGGATTTGAAAACAACATCTACACCATTCATATGGATAAATTCTCATTGTTAATGGCCGATNATAGGAAAAAAAATATATTTTTGAATAGTGATTTTTTGGAGAATATGTGGTTAAAAAGTAAGAAAAAGTTTTGATTTACGTATAAAATTATTTTATTGAAGAATGTGTGGTTGAAAATAAGTTTTGAAAAAAAAAGTTGGAAAATACTAGGATTTGAAAACAACATCTACACCATTCATATGGATAAATTCTCATTGTTAATGGCCGATCTGGACTTGAGAAGAATGTAAATTCATTTTGTGATATATTCATGTAATAATCAAAAAATAAATAAGATTATTCAATAGTGAATTTCCAGAAAACACAAATTTATTGCCAAGAAAGCGAGATGTTGTCAAACGACAAGTATTTTACAAAGTAAAGACAAAATATTGAACATGATCACTCACAAGCAAGCGAAAACACACTAAAATTACATGAAACTAACGAACAACATGACTCCCACTAAATCGTATCACACAGCGGATCTGGTTATTGACGCAATAAAGAAAGCACTCTGATGTTCATGCTCAATTTTGACAAGCAAAATGAGGAATACTCAGGAAGTTCACCTCTTCAATACTAGCCTGACTTCCACGGCTTCACCACCATTATTTTATGTAGTCTCTCGGGAACATTTATGTCTTTTTGGTTGCACACTAACTCGTAAAGATTTGGCATCCCTGTTTCATCCACAATCAACTCCGAAATTTTATATAAGTCATCAAAAATTGCAAACACTTCGAGCTCTAGAAAGCTGTTTGCTCATGAGAAATCCAGCTTGATTGACCTACGTTGTATACAACCTTCCAATGAAAGGATCTTTAATCTGGGTAGTTCCTTTAGTACCTTCATGGAATCCTTAGTGAGGTTCAAACCAAGAATGGAAAAGTTGATCAGGTTTGGAGGGAATTCAATGGTGTCAAGCCTGAGTGGAGTAGCAGGCCTACCCTTCAGAATCAACTTAGCAAGATGGTCATAGTGGGACAGGTTTAACCTCTCAAACTTCTGACTTAAATTCAACTGCAAGTGTTGGAGCTTCTCCGATATGGGTGTTTTACCAGATATTACATCAATATGTTGGTCATTAATCACAATTAAGTTCAGCTTTCTCAAGTTGGAGAATTTGTGCAATGAGCTAGCTTTGAAAATGGTACCAGGCACATAATCTAAAGTTTCCATGTTCGGTAAATACACCTCATTTCTGACATTCAAATATGTGCATATGTTAGACTCAAACTCATATACATAGCAGCAGAGTAAATGCTTCAAATACTTCATCCTGAAAATAGTTCTTGGAAAAATACCAAATTCTGCTCGACTAATATCCAATGTCACCAATTTCTTGAGATTCCTTATGGTTAAAGGAATCCTTTTAAATGTCCCACTCAACTTAAAGTAAGTCAAGCTACTCAGGTTTCCTATTTCATCAGGAATCCAAGACCATTCTTCTCCTGAGTTACTGAAGCAGAGCAAGACACGAAGTTTTGGAGTTTTAGAAATAGAAAAGGAATATTGAATAGTGTTGTCAATGGTCAGTCTACGAAGTGTAGAAAAAGAATTAGATTGTATATTGTGGCGTATACAAAAGAAGTTGTTCTCGTTGGCCATTTCGATGCAAAGAGCGCGTAGAAGATCATGAATGCGACAACTTTCCACTCTTCCATCCAAATTTATCTCAAAAACTTGGATTAAATTTCTGTCACTTAACATTTCTAATTTAATTTAGAAAACAACAAGAAAAAAAAAATAGGGCATTTCTGATTTTAAAAAATTATAATATCAAATAATGGGGCCAAACATGTTGAAAGAGTGGGGGTATATGAATAATGGTCGCCTAATCTGCTTACAATTTAGCGAATGAGTTACTTTCTTATTTTAACGAGATTCAAATAATTAGAGTGAGGATATACAATTTAGCGAATGGGTTAGTTTCTTATTTTAACGAGATTCAAATAATTAGACGAAAAGATTGATACAACAATTAACAAGTTTCGATTTGTGATTGGAGACGATAACGTTATGTGTATCGGGACTCGTTTTCGGTGAATGAAACATTGAAATTGGATGAAATGTTTGAGACATGAAGGTTAGAATGTCATAGTTTCAATTTTCGAATATGATTCTGACTCGGATACAAAAAATAATAGCACGAGGATGACATTAATCGCATTAAATGGCTGCGTTCATGGTCACATTGAGTACACGCGAGTGCTAGTTAGGCCAGGAGTAGTTGTCTCGAGTCTCAATATGACATTTTTACGATTGATAGAAGAATTGATTCTTGGTACTGCAAGGAAACCAAGCATGATTGCTGGATATAAAAATGGTACCCCTACCTTATCATTGGGGTATGTGTTGTGATTGTCAATTTTAATTGAGGCATGTGTTTGCCTAGTATTAAGAGTAGGTTAAATATATAATTTGTACTATACTGTTGTAAACGTCATTGGAGTGTTGGCAAAGCCAAAAGAAGACGTTCGAACTCCAGTGACTAAAGCCTACTGTCCTTGGAGGCTCGAGCATCATTAACTTCTGACCTCACAATAGAAAATGTCTAGGTCCACCCTTATTGAAAGCCAAGCATGTTGCCAAGTTTGGTGTTAGAAGATATTCACCCTATGTCATACGGAGGTTAGAGTTCTCATGCTTTCGAGGTTTTATGACATGGCCTTGGGTTGGTAGAACATCCACACAACGCCTCCATTGGAGGCTCGTTTTACATATGGCGAGTATAAACTAAAAGTGATTCCATGATGATTGCAAGTGGGATGGGGCTCATCTATGGCCTGAGCTACATTTACGTCAAGGCAATCTAAGGTTGTAAGCAGATTAGATGACCCTTAGTGATTTTAAAAATTATAATATCAAATAATGAGGCCAAACGGGGGCTTAAATAAGGTCGAGTAAACTTGACTCAAAAAACGTTACTCTTAATAAAATGGGAATGTTAAAAAATTTTGATAAAACATATTGAAATTTCGAGTATCTTATTTTTCAAGGTTTCTTATATTACATGATGCCTTTACTTTTACAATTCTGATCAAGACTCGTATGAGAGTAAATTAACAACTTGGTTATGCCTC